TTACCACAGTATAATTTTTCACTTTAGATTGTGCTTTTATTTTCAAACTACACCAATTCCCCCATTAACATCTTTGTTAGGTTCCTGAAAACCATGACTTTAAGTGAAACAACGTTAAGTGAAAACGATTTTACCGTAGACACAATGATATAAATAGGGGTTATGTTCCTTGGGTACATTTCTGGTCAAAATATTCTCAAAACTTGCCACAAATGTTTCACTTACAGCATTATCACCTTCTTGTTTTGAATTTTCAAATAAACTTGAGAGCTTTCGCCTGTATGGAGAGCAACGAACATGGGAAGTTTTGTTATGTTGATCCGTGGTTCACATGTTCAGGATTCTTTCCATAATGCCACTTCTGTTACAAGTTAACTTTATAGCAGATAATGGAGTAACACTTTTTGCACATGAATTGATATTTTCTGCATTTCCACAAATTGTTCTTACCTTCGGTTCTTGGTTGCAAACTCTTGCTATAGTCACATCTCGCTTTCCTTCTTCAACTCTCTTTACCACATCTAATGTAACACTTTTCCTCTTCTTTCTGTGACCACAACCAGTAGTGGTGCATAATGCACATTTAGCACTCATTGTTCTAGGGCTCAAATAAATTTTGGATTTTAAGTGAATGTTGGTAGAGCATCAACCAACAAATATGGAGCCCACGCTGGTCGCTTACACAACCAGCTGTTATCACAGTCAGGCGCTGAGTGACTTTGCACTGAATTTTTAAAATTGTTGTACATTTATAATTTTCATAAATATTTTATTTTTTTGTTCAATGACGCTATAACGAAACGACGTTGACTGAAATGACGTTAATGAGGGAATTAGTGTATAAGCACACATTGTATTTGTTACATTTGGAATTTGCTTCTGATCACACTATTCTAGTCAGTTGATAGACTGCATGAAAATTAAGAAACCTAACTACTGTAGAGGGAATGTTACTATTCCGGTTAACATTTACATTTTTTTTTATATTACTGTACTGTAGTTAAATACTTATGGCACATATCCATATTTTTTTATATATTTGCAGATGCTGGTATCATATCTTAGTAAAGTGATTAAATATATTAAACAAATGTTAGCTTTCCATTTACATGTACCATAACATTTTAAAGTCCCTTGATTCACTTCTCCCCCCCCCCCTCCCTATGATAGCTCTTTTATGTTCACTATGGAATTCCTATACAGTATTTTATTCACAGATTTGCTATTTTTTTGCCAAGATGCTGGGACTCCTTATACAGTGGCTCGATAGCTCAGCTGGTAACAAGAACATCTAACAAGTGAATGGTCACAGATTTAATCTCCATATGGATTGGAGGAGGATTGGGTTCCCCCTGTGTACACTAGCCCTTGTGTTACCTGCAATATATGAGTACTGTACATTTTCAGGTTCATTTGCTGAGGATGGAACAACTTTTCTGTGGACTAGCATCATGCAAAGGGGTTGGAGTTAACCCACTACACATAGCAAGAGGAGGAGGAGGCTTGTATGGATTATTTTCCTTTATATGGTGGAATTACTGTATGACTGTTTAGTGTAATCAGATGAAACACATCCACCAAATATTGTAGTCTTACCTCATCAAAATCAGCAGGAACTCTAAATATTCCCTCTGTATTTGTTCCCTGTAGTCGTAATACTTCCTCAGAGAGAGTCGTCTGAACCCAAGGTAACCTACGATGTGGGTACCTGAAAAATATAAAATGAGTGTATTAATTATCACAATCTTTAAATAAGTTGCTCTAAAGTACTCATGGCAACACTAACTTTCTTAAACAAAATTTTTTATTTTTTTATTTTTTTAAATACAGTATAGAACTTTTTTTTTTAATTATTTAAGGAAACTAGTAAAACAAAAAAGAAGTGTAACAGGGGAAAATGTGGGATTGATCTTTCATTTTTTTTTTCTATAACCAATTATGGAGCAGGGATTTCTGTACAGTATGGTCAAGAAGTCAATGATTTGCCAGCAGAATTCCCAGAACATATGATGCGTTGTTGGGACTAAATTCCAGAAAAATAGTTCATCTTCCCAATACAGTATAAAGTAGTATTTGCAGGCATCAGATACCAATAAAACTAAGAGCCGAGTCTTCACTACCATACTAATACATTACCTGCATATCTCATTAGTTACAAAATAAACAAATCAATCAACCCCAGGAATTAGTAAAAAGTTTAAATTATACTGTTGCATAAAACTGTCACTACAAAAGTTACTGGAGAAATTTAAGAGAAAATCAATATTCTTATAGTTCATCTACCTGTCTCTCTGTAGAGCCATCACTTCTTCAATTGTGCCACCAAACATTGATGCTCGGAAGATATGCAGACGTGCCAGATCAATTTCCTCCAGAGTGGGTTTTCTAAGTCGTTGTCTCTTTGCATTAACTGTTGTTCTTTCTAAGCGCTTGATGCACACACCAGCATAGTGTGCCACCTGTTAATGGTTTATCACTTATAATTAAAGGTAAAATATGAGATAAGCTTATAGGAATGTCTTAATTAGTACAAAAAATGGATCTTGACTTTTATACAACTGTGTGTGATTAATTGCCTCTCTCATTTCTAATTACAAAGATCTTATACTAATGACAAGTCCTTTTCATCACTAAAACTTGCATATAAAATTTTTATTCCATGTGAATACCAAATCTTTCAAACTAAGCCTAAAACTTTCTCCCAGTACAATTATTACAGGTTATGATGTTCAGCCTCCATTGTGAATGCTCTCCACAAAACTCTCTTCTCTAAATACAACTTCTACTTATATAACCATACTAATAGGTTCTCCAGTTAGCATATATACATTCATATCTTACAACAGATACAACTTTTAGCTAAGTCATCATCATTTAATTTTCTTGATACATTTGTTTGCTGTCCTACATCAACAAAGTATCATATTCAATATCGGAAACATACGGACTTTGACTGAGTTTCAATTCTTAGCCTGTCTACATCAAGTTAAAAAAAAGTGTTGTAGTCATTGTTGTTGCTAAAAGTATTAACTTTTTAAGCCCAAATATGCCTGTAGGAGAGCTTTGTTGTCTTGTGATTATACTTTGTTTAACGCTCTCAGCCTCGGAGCTCGAGACACATACGTGCATGAAAACTTACGCTCAGCCTTGGAGGTTTTTGCCGAAAAATAGTTGGAAAAAAAATAAGTGCTCATTTCACTGCCATGGAATTGTTTTATTAATTGTAATGGGGTCTCTTCTATCATAAAATTGTCTGCAAAACTGTATGAAACCATAAAAAAATGAATATTCTTGAAATTTAAGCTACTTTTTTCGAGTATAAGTTGAAAAGTAGGAAAATGTTTAGTAACATCTCGAATTCCATTCGCATTTTCCTTGTATTATGGTGTTCATTGATATGTATTATATACCAAAATAAAGAACAAAGCATGTAGAATATTGTGGTGTAAGGAAAAATAATAGAACAAAAAACTCATGGAATAATTAAAGGGCTGAGCGATGCACCCTCCTCTCGCTCTAATGGCCAGAGCCACATTGGCTTCATGCCGCACTGCCATGCATACAATGACCAAGACCGTCTCAGGGAAGGTGATAAGGCCCACACAAAGAAAACGACGTCTGTCAAATGGCATCCAAAGTTCAGTCAGTTTCACTGAATAGTTTTTTGAGTTACAGTTGTACCCCACTTAACGCGGTCAATTGAACCCAGAGGGTCCCGCGTTAAGTGAAAACCACGTTAAGTGAATAACAGAACATATGGGATTAATTCCAATAGAACCCAGCCCGACCCCCAAACTCCACTTTTTGACGACAAATAACTATGTTGTAGTAAAAATAACATCTTAATTTTATGATGGTACATGCACTCAATTAATACTTAAGAGAAATAGAGAAATACAGTCCCAAGTTAATGTCCATTCAAATAATGGACTCAACTCCCTCCCCCTCTTCTCACACTACACTCACTGGCTCTTCCCTCTGAGAAATTTTTGGGGGAAAACCAGGTATAGTAATAAATAATTCCTCAAACTAAAGTTAGGATAATATAATTGACATTGCTGGATTCCTTGTAAGACCAGGAATATTTTGAATATAAATGTCATATATTTTTCACAAAAGATAACATATTTACTCAGAATAAACTTTACATCAAAAATTTGTATGTCTAATGCAAAATCTATGATGTTTATATTCAAAATGATCAGCAAATTGTAAGAATTCCAGCAATGTAAATTATATTCTGGCCGGATAATTTGTATGAATTTTATGAGCTAAAACAAATATCTTCAGTTAATAAAAAAAAAAAAATATTCTTCGACACTATCTGTCAATCAAAGTACCCCACCTTGCCTTCCCCCCCTCTTCCAACCGCGTGGTCAGTCCCAACCCTCCCCCCACCCCCCACCAATCCTCCCTTCCAGAGTTTATAACATTTAGTATTAAATAATACCTCAGATTAAAGTTAGGATAATATAATTGACATTGCTGGATTCCTTGTAAGACCAGGAATATTTTGAATATAAATGTCATATATTTTGGACAAAAGATAACATAGTTACCTAGAGAACAATTTTTATCTAAAAATTGTATGTTTAATGCAAAATATATGTTGTTTATATTCAAAATGATCACCAAATTATAAGAATTCCAGCAATGTAAATTATATTCTGACCGGGTAATTTGTATGAATTTTATGAGCTAAAACAAATATCTTCAGTTAATAAAAAAAAAAATAATTCTTCACGGGGTAACAGATGGTCGGTCGGTCGGTCCCTCCCTCCCCCCCACCCCCCACCAACCGTCCCAAGGAGATGTGTGGGATAACCACTAAATTTTAATAAATAATACCTCAAACTAAAGTTAGGATAATATAATTGACATTGCTGGATTCCTTGTAAGACCAGGAATATTTTGAATATAAATGTCATATATTTTGGACAAAAGATAACATAGTTACCTAGAGAAATATTTTTATCTAAAAATTGTATGTTTAATGCAAAATATATGTTGTTTATATTCAAAATGATCACCAAATTATAAGAATTCCAGCAATGTAAATTATATTCTGGCTGGGTAATTTGTATGAATTTTATGAGCTAAAACAGGCAGTCAGGCAGGGTGGCGGGTGGGGGGTAGTGCGAATCTAAAAATAGCTCTCGAGCCGGACACTCACCGCGTATATGATGAAAAATGCCGCGTTAAGTGAAAGTTCAGCTTTGGCAAGGCACCGCGTATATGCGAAAACGCGTTAAGTGAAAGCGCGTTAAGCGGGGTAAAACTGTATTTGAAAATATAGCCCATTGGATGCCACGTTGGCGTCGCGAGGCTGAGCGTAAGTCTTTTCGTCTTTTATGTTCGATGCCACAATGGCGTCAAGCGAGGCTGAGCGGGTTAACCAAATTCTGAATAAAATAACCTTTTTAACAACATTGAAATTCCTTTTCAAAGAAGCAGGAGATCAGTATTTGTCTAGTCACTTGTACCATAGCAGGAGGAGGTTTGTATAGATTGTGCAAATAAATTAGGTTTGGTAGGAATACTGTAATGAAATGAAGAATAGGGAAAGGAAAATTGAATAATTTCTTTGGCTAGTGCATCGGACTTCTTGATTTTTAAAGCAACAAAGACAAATGTGTACTAAGGTGGACAAAAGTCCCTTCCCTCAGCCCTCCCTCTCTTTTCCCCTATGGCCCCCATCCCCCGCCATACTCACTACACAGTGTGCCATCTGTTGGATGATTACAGCACTTCCCTCAGTTGCCTCATTATTCGAACCTCAGGTGATTCAGTCACATTGTGGCTGGCTCAGGGAAGGAACTTTTGTCCACCATAGTACTATTTTGCTTTCCAACTCATTTAAGCCTCTTCAATTCTGTACTTATGTGCATTGTTTAATAAAATAATAACAATAAAAGTCTATTAGTTTGCAACCATAAACTCCATGGAATCAAAATTTTACGACAAACTGTTTCTGGAAAAAAAATAATTATTGGCATTGGATTGAAACTTTGAATAGAATGCAAGGACACAAGACATAACAGTGAAAAATCCACTAAATATAAAAAAATAGAAGGCATTGAGAACTGTACACAACTTCTTACCTGAATATGGATAGGCCACTTAGAGACATCAGGGAACATGGAACAGTAGGCAGGGTCACAATGCCGTGCTATATAACCCGCCAAGTAAGGACCAAATTTATCCGACGGAGGAAAAAAAGCTAAACAGATGGCCAACAGTTCCCAGCCTCGCCTTAAACTGTCCCTGTGAAAACAGTATTGCAAAATTATTTCCCAGTATCATGACTAGAAAGATTTTGGCAACAAAATTTTTGTAACAAAATACAGATTTTCTGAGCAATTCCAACAAATTGTAAAAACGAAACATACTGATGGGAAAAGTTGATACCATATACACTGTACCCTCATTAATTCAAAACGTTATACTAATTCGTATTTTGGCTTGAATTGCACGATTTTTAAAAAATTAAGTAAACGATTTGAATTCGGAATTAATCCAAAATAATGGAGAGGTTCCAAAAAGTCACCTTGGCTGCCACAATATATTCTATTTATAATTACAGGATGCCCTTCAAATTTATGGCAGTTAGGTTATCAAAATGGCCGTGAATCGCCAAATCCGCGAATAACATAGGCTGAATTTGGGGTGGGGGGACATTTTTACTTGTGTTTGCCTTTATGAAAATTATTTCTTTTACCTGTATTGTATATATGTGTGTGTGTGTGTGTATAGACACACACACAAAACACATACAAATAAATGGGAAATCCTCTCACAAATAATCAGATAAAAATTATTATAGATGTTGAGTATCCTCAAGTCTACTCCATGCTCTATTAATAAAAAGCACAGAATGGAGTTGAGGGTAGACTCAACATTTAATATTTTTTTTCTGCTTTTTTGTGAGAAGACTTTCCCATTATTATTTATTTGTATCTGTTTTGTGTGTGTGTATCTACACACACACACACATATATATATATACAATACAGGTAAAGGAAATTACTGTCTCTAGAACGAATGGCTCCCTCTCTGGCCACGAAAATGTCAGCAACTTTAAAACTACCCTTAGACATTCTTGGGTACATCCAGGGTGTCATCTGTGAATAACAGAGGACCGCGAAATGAAAATCCGAGAATTATCTGTTCGTATTGTGCTGTGCAAATACTAATATATTTTTAAATGTACATACAGTTATAATAAAGTAAATAATACAGTAATATATAAATGTAACACTTACATTGCGGGGCGAGGTGATAACTGAGGGTGAATACTGTTCCCAAGATTATTCCTAATTCTCATCCTACCTCAACTCAGGAGACAGGTCATGTGACCTGATTCCTTTGTTCTGTTAATTGGCTGAAGAGCGTCCCAGTATATCAGCTGCATGATTTCATCTTTTATTTCTCCAATGTGGGTTTTTATTTCATATACCAGTGTGACCGTTACACTTTTGGAATATCATCTAAATATTATCACCTCGCCCCGTAATGTAAGTGTTACATTTATTTATTACTGTATTATTTACTTTATTGTTACTGTTTGTACATTAAAAAAAATACTTGTTTGCACAGTAATTACAAATAGAATATTTGATGTGCCAGCCAGGGCATAGTAAATGAGTATGTTTGCTGGTTGGAATAATGAGGAGCAATCTGAACAAACCGAACAGTAAACAAACAAATAATTGAACACAAAAATTCAGAAATTGTTGAATAATGTAAAAACATTCCGAACTCAGTTAATTCAGATTTTTCAGTAATTTGAGTGACCCAGAGCCCCTTTTTTATCGAATTATCGAGGGTTCAGTGTACTGAAGTTTTATCACAATATTTCATAAAGACTACCTTTCCCATGTATACAGAAAATTCAGTACAATTCATACATACAAATACAAAAGAATGAGAGCATTACAAAAAAGTCATGGTCAAAAGTGAAAAATGTTCATCTGAAAATAAAAAAGTAGAAAAAATCAACACTGACAAAATATACAAAAGTATTTGCAAGTAATGATTTCATAAAAGAACAAGATGACAACTGTGCCAAAAGAATATTACCATTTGTATTAAATTGGTGAATGTCATTAAAGTAAGTAAATCGCTTTCTATAATCTTGCTGAAAAATAATAATGTACTGAAATTAAACTAACCGTTTGTGATTTTCTGTGGTCTGTCTACAAATCTGAACAAACAGTTCATCTCGAAGTCCAATTGTATTATAGCACATGTTGACAACATCTAACCCCACTGAATTAAGGGTCATTCCAGGCTTTGGCTTACGGTCACTCATGTAGATTTGGACAAGCCTGAAAAGCTCACATGCTTGGTTTTTTACAGACTTGTCCAGAGTGGCTAACATTGGCTTTCGAATTGGATCCTGAAAACAAAAGTACCTTATGAAGAGGGAAAAATTAGGTTCAGGGTCATGACATACCATATGATTAAATGATGTGATTTGATATATGATTAAGAACGTAAGACAAAGATGTGAGTGAACATTAAGACATCTTGAAAAGTCATCACAAAATAAATGGGTGAATGTCTACAGTACTGTACACAAAACAAATACAGTATGCATCCACAGCAACAAACTTCACCTTAGCCTGTGACTAATGATACTTGCACCAGGTTTAAAACATTGTGTGAAACCATGACTAATGAAGTTATAACCTAATTACTATAGTATATGCTGTATAATTAAAACTTTGGGTTATAAAAAAAATCAAATTTTCCTGCTCCTGCCAAAATGAAAAAAAAATTTACTATTGAAGTGACAATAATTGAGAGCCAAAAAGGAAGATATATGTGAATAACAGCAGGTTATGACCCTTAACTTAAATAGTAAAACCATTCTTACCTTTGTCCATGAAATCATATCTATAACAGGAACCTTCTTTCGTAAGAGACCGCGGGTGTGAATGTTAAGATTTTCCTGAGCATATTTCTCCATAAGATTGTGTCCATCACCACCACCACCACCACCACCACCAGTGCTGCTATACCGCTCAAAGTCAGACTCTGAGGGAGGCTTCTTCATCAGAGAAAGTGCAGTCATGCCCTGTAGAGAAAAACACATTCAGATATCTCTAATCACTTGTCCTTACATCAGCATGCAGTCAGCACTCAAGTCATTTATGCCAACGATTTTAAAAATGATGATGGTGATTCCATTAACTGACATATCCACTACTAGAAATCTGAAACGTTCCACTTCCGTTTTTCATTTTTATTTAATTAATATTCTTTTATTCGTATCCACTTCCTCTTTGTAAACTACTGTACACTGCCCAACTCTCTCTCTCATTTTATGAATCATCAACTATTATAAGGCAAAGTGAAAATGAATGGCCTAAAGGTTCCTAATTTTCCTTGACTAAAATTTGTTATTGTGTTATCCCACAAAACTTTTTATCCAAATTCATAGTTGACACAATAGTACAACATTCTAAAATGGTCAAGATCCTCATCAAAAAACACTCAATTTATTAGGAGAAAAAGTATAAGATGACTTAATCTACTCTATTAAGTTGGAAATATAGTAAAACTGGTTGTTAAACAAATGAAATTATTAATTTATGAAGTAGAGTAATAACCTTACTTCCTTATAATCGTACAGGGTCATAGAATTTCTAAACAATAGTTAATCATTAATTTATACTTACTGAAAGTTAACTAACTGAAATAATCTCTGTTTGCTGAGGAGGAATACAACATTTATAAATCTAACAATACAGTTGAAAAGTAAAAGAAATTAACATGAGGTAAGCTGTAGGAATGAGGTAATAAGTTACCTGAGGTGGGCGATGGAGTGATCCGGTGATGGGGTTGGTGGTTAGGGTCGAGTCCATCATGTTGGGGATAGAGATGGACAATGGACGGTTACCCAACTGGCCACTGCCATCACGATTACTCATCTGACAAGTAACAATACAAATTTAAAAAAAAATCCTCAATAAACATTACACAGTTTCACAAAATCATCACATTACTGGTGTCTCAATTCATTTTCTCATAGGATTAATATTCCATCACACAAAATATAAGCAATAAAAACACACAACAACAAATGCATAAAAAAGTTTCAAAGTAGCTGGGATGTACTAAGGTAAGGATATGTGGTCAGTATACTATCTAACAGGTCAGTTAGTTGGTCTCTCTCTATATTACCCTTCCTCTCTCTTTCCTGCCCCCCCCCTTTGTCTTTCTCTTCCCTGCTTCTTTCCTTCTCCCCTAACTCTTCCCCCTTCCTGCCTTTCCTCCTCTCTCTCTCCTGCCACTGCCCATTCTCTCTCTCTCTCTCTCTCTCTCTTTCTCTCTCTCTCTCCTGCCACTCCCCATCTCTCTCTCTCCTGCCACTCCCCATCTCTCTCTCTCCTGCCACTCCCCATCTCTCTTTCTCTATTCCCATCCTCTTCCTCGCTCTTTTACTCCTGCCTACCTCCCTTTTCTTCCCCATAAGCCTCTTCCTTTTTTTCCATTCTCCCTCTACAGTACCCCTGTCACCCTAGTTTGCCTGCTTCAATTTTTTTCTTCTGTCTTACTTATTTTTCTTTCTTTATTTGCCTCCCCTTTTTCTGACCATTTATTCAGAACAGTTTCTCAATTTAGAACCTACTGATTTCACCACAAGTCTGTAAATTTCTGTAACTTATCCCTGACACCTACCAGTATTTGTACTAGTTTATTTTTCTGAATTTATACCATTTAATAATTCATGAATCACGTAGACATACGAGAGAGAACCTAAAAGACCTCAGGGTTTCCTAGAGAGTTTTATCAAGGAACTGACAGTTTAGATAAAACCAGAAAGAAACACACGTCTCTTTACTCACTGTTCTTAATTTCCTCTGAACACCAATGAGAAAACACATTATATTCAATCAATCTCATATGGGCAAATTCTATAGAAAATCTACACAAGACCAATTACTGCACACAATGTGGAGAATTTTCTCAAAAAATAATTAGCGAAAACCTATTCCACACACCTCGCCCTTCTCCAGTATTGGCGAGTACAACGGCTGATGGTTAGGAGGGTCTTTCTTTCTCCTTAATGATGGATGCTGAGTGTCTAGTGGCAGGCTGTTAGGTGGCATCGGTGCTGTGGTGATGTTGGGTATAATTGGTCGAGGAGCTGTAGGGGTGGAAGTCTGAGCCGAGCTTCCTGATGTTCCAGTACTTATAGGGGCAGTTGATGAAGCTGGTGAAATTCTTGACCCCTTGGCACTGTCTGGTACATCTTCTTCTCCTTCTGTGCATGTTTAATGAAAAATAATTTAGTAAAATAATCATATCAAGGGAAAACTAAAAAAAATCTTACTTTCCCAACCCATTCTAAACATCACCTACCTATTGAGATGTCTTCTCTGGAAATGAAGTTAATTGAACTGAGAAAAACATCATAAAAGTCTCAAGAAAATGACTTAATAAAGACACCCTAGATGAATGAATCACCACCTCATTATACCTCAATAATGTGAGTTTAACAAATGGGTACAGTACCAGGTAATGTAGAAACAATTAGTGAACTATGCAATGAAACACAGCCTTTATGTACAGTTAGTTCCAATTATATATATATATATATATATATATATATATATATATATATATATATATATATATATATATATATATATATATATATATATATATATATATATATATATATATATATATATATATATATATATATATATATATATATATATATATATATATATATATATATATAACATATATATATATATATATATATATATATATGCTGTTAACCACTGGAAGAAAACAGAAGTTCCCAAGCTATTTTAGTGTGATTCACATCTTCAGGGGTGAGTGCAGACTAGAGAGTAATACAAATCAAGGTGTATATATACGGAGGGTGAGACCAGGTCCACAATGGTCAGGTATTAGGTTGTTCTACTAATCTTTAAATATTACATGATGGTTGGTGGTCAGGTCAGATGGTGGTGGTGCCTTCTCACTGATCACAAATCTTCTTAATTATAAATTGTCAGCTTGTACATGCCATTCTCAAATTCATGTTGAATGTAGCTAAAACATACCGAAGCATTCAACATGAATTTAATCTTCCTTCAGACAATATAATAAGACTGCCTACAGTGATTTATTTGCATATATATATATATATATATATATATATATATATATATATATATATATATATATATATATATATATATATATATATATATATATATATATATATATATATATATATATATATATATATATATATATATATATATATATATATATATATATATATATATATGTGCTCTACAAGCTGAACTTTCACTTAAAGCGGGTTTTTTCCACATATACGCGGTGAGTGTCCGGCTCGGATGCTATTTTTAGATTTTGCCCACGCGCTACGCGCCACGCGCCACCCACCCGCCCGCCTGCCTGCCTGCCTCTCCCTCCTCCTCCCTCCGCTTGGGTAAGCGGCGCGGTAAGGTTGCGCAGTGTGTGTCTTTGTTGCGTTATCACTGACGTCATATGACGTCTCGGACTGTGATTGGCCATGCAGCCCTACCCCCCTCTGCTGCTAGCTGTAATTGGCTTAAAGTATTATGACGTGACTACCCCGGGGAGGGAGGGAGGGAGGAGAGACGACGCTTGACCTAGCCGCGGCAGTTTCATCCCTCAAGGCCACGCCGGGTTAACGCGCATCCATTGTTCCGTAAAATGGCTTCCGCCGGACCACCACCCCCAGAGAGAAACCTTTCCTTACCTGGACCCAGCGGCACTAAACCAAAGAAGACACGACGTTCATTAAGCTACGAGCTGAAGTACCAAATTGTTCAAGATTTGGAGAAAGGAAGACGCCAAGTTGATCTCGCGCGCCAGCATGGCGTCAACGAATCTACGATTCGTACAATAAAGAAGGATGCAGCCAAGATAAAGGAGCACATGAAGATCACAAAGTCTGCAGGTGCTTCATCTATCAGGTATTGCCAGAACAGGGTGCTGGCAAAAGTGGAAACTTTGCTGGTGAGTTATTTGGTGCGTCAGGCGCGACGCAACATGGCGGTGGACACGCGCTCAGTGCAGGAGTACGCACGTGAGCTATACGCAGCAGTGACACGTAAACTGGGAATTGCAGAGCCCAAACCCTTCAATGCTTCCCATGGTTGGCTGCATAGGTTTAAGAGGAGGAACAAGGTCACCAACATCAGCATTGTTGGTGAGGAAGCGAGTGCTGACCGTGCGGCGGCTAGAGATTTTCCTCCGTTTTTACGTGAGATTATGGAGGAAGGACAGTACAGTGACGACCAGGTGTTTAACATGGACGAATCTGGTCTTTTCTGGAAAAAGTTACCTTCCAAGACCTTCGTTGTCCAGTCTGCGAGCAAGGTAAGGGGCGGAAGATGCAGAAGGAACGCATCACCGTCCTGTTTACCACCAATGCCTCCGGTACCTGTAAACCAAAGTTATCGGTGATTCACAAAGCCCGCAAGCCGCACGCCTACAAGAATATGGACATGAACAAGCTTAATGTCCACTGGCTAACCGCACGTAAGGCGTGGATGTCCTCTTCTCTGTCCCTCTTCTGGTTTGACAACTGTTTTGTTCCTGACGTGCAGAAATTCTGCGAGCAACAGAATGTTCCTTTCAATATTTTGTTGCTCCTTGACAACGCACCTGGACACTCGCCCCTACTTATGGATCGTCACCCCAACGTAAAAGTGGTCTTCCTTCCTCCCAACACTACGTCATTAATCCAGCCCATGGACCAGGAGTTAATCTGCAATGTTAAAGCTGCATACTCGGCAAAGAAATTCAAGCTCCTGAACGACTCTACCAACACCAAGGATGAGTTGCGTAAGCTGGGTGACACCGACAGCGAGAGTAAAAGCGACGAGGACAAGGAACAAGAGGCGGCGACTCAAGAACTTCTCGTCAAACAATTTTGGAAGAAGTTTAACGTCAAACAAGCTGTAGACTTCTTGGTGGAGGCATGGGATCTGCTGACTATTGCTACGATTCGTCACGCATGGAGACATGTGTTGCATGGCATACCAGGTGAGAGGAGGAGTGAACCTGTGACTGGTCAGGTTCAGACTGTTGCAGTAGCAGTGGACCTTGCCAGAGAAGCTGCGCTCAGTATTACAGCTGAAGGCTTCTCCGAGACCACCAACGAAGACATCATGGAGGTGATCAGAGATCCTGAAGTGACTGCCGACGAGATGTTGGAAGAAGAACCCGCCAGTGAAGAGGAGGAAGAAGGTGCGTCATTCTCCGAAGAACCTAGTTTAAGTCATAGTGATATTAAGTGTCTCATAGAGTTAACAGAAAAAATTAAGTCCATCGTTTCCCGCGACACTGACGATGAACGCCATGACGTCTTCCATACCCGACTGGTGCAGGCTATGGAGCCGTACATCACGGTGTATCATGACAACATCAAAGCCAGCCGTCAGCAAAGCATAACCGAGTTCTTCGCCCGCAACCCACCACAGCCAGCCCAAGCCAGTGATAGTGATAGTGAAGTTGATTTTGAGGGATTTGTCAGGGAAGCCATGACAACTGTAAGTGACAGTGATATTGATTCACCTAGTAATGGTGATTCACCTAGTAATGGTGATTCACCTAGTAATGGTGATTCACCTGAGGGGCAGTAATCTGCCCTCTGCCTCGGAACCAGCCTCCATCCCCGTATGCCGACCCATCTCTTCTACTACCGTGAGTGTTCCTCAAAAATTTTCGTTTTTTAACCTATTCTTTATTTTTCCTATGTTAACCTTTATCTTTCCTAACCTAACCTCTTCTATATTACTTGTTTTTCATGCCACCATAAAGTTAAGATAGAATTTTTACTACAACATAGTTATTTGTCGTCAAAAAGTGGAGTTTGGGGGTCGGGCTGGGTTCTATTGGAATTAATCCCATATGTTCTGTTATTCACTTAACGCGGTTTTCACTTAACGCGGGACCCTCTGGGTTCAATTGACCGCG